GACGGTAATAAGCCACCACTCACGGCGGAGAGTGTGTCTGCTATTGCTTCTGACCCTAAGTTTCGAGTCGCCGTGGCGGCTGCCATTTCGACGCTTATTAACAAAGAGAGCAACCGCACGACGTCGATGCTGGATCCTATCGAACGTTCTTCTTTTGATTCTGGTAAGGACGGCGACGGCGGCGACGATGGTGGCGGCGGAAATAAGAATTGGGTTGTTGAGTCCCTCTCCTTGAATGGGAAGTAATTTGGAAGGAGACTCGGAGTTCATTCTTTTTTTTTTTTCAGTTTGATCCAAAATATGTATTTATATTTGTAGTTTTTGTTTCCATGATTTGATTTTCTGATGAGAGTTCTGTAAGAATTCATAGAATGAAAGAATAAATATGTTTTTGGTTTGATATTATATGGCATCAACTTGACAAGTAAAATATAAAAATAATAAATAAAATAAAATATGCTTAATTTAGCTCGTAAATATTGAAATTTATATCTAGTAAATCTCTAAACTGTCGATTTTACGACATCTAATTGATAAATTGGGAGGCCTAACGAGGTATTAGCACAGTGTTGAGCGTGCCCCTTCTAAAAAATGAAATCACCACTGACTTGAATAAAAGGGAAGGTGAATCTGCTCGAAGAGCTACTAAACTAACCCTCATCTCGCTAATGAAGAGCCAGATCACATTCACTTGTTTGGAATTTATTGTTCGAGATTGGTTGAAACAACTTTCCAGCCTCCTAACCTTATATTGTATATTATTCAAGTTATAGTATCATCAATATTTGGACTTGGACCGTGTCTCCCAAACAATCTCGGTACCAAGGTCCAGAAGCTCGGACGAATTAATGGTGACAAGTATATCAAATAAAACCTTAAACTTATAATTTTGTCAATCAAAGTTAAAAGACCAATAAATGCAGACACCAAATCGACAAAAATTTTAAAGTTTCGAGACTAAATTTATAATTTACCTTATAACTTCATCATCATCTACCTACCAATCCACGGCAGCCCGTGTAAACTAGAAAGCAGGCATTGGACCAAAAAGTCATTTACTTGTCCCAAACTGAACCTCAATGGGCAGATTATTCACAAAATGGACAGCCATCAGACAAATCGAGTAACAGCAAATTCTGAAACTACTGGTTTAGATCACTAATGTTGATATAAAGCAATCATAGCATTAAAGGAGGAAGTTTTCACAAGCTCAAAACGTGAATCCAACATCCTTTCTTATTGACCATGGTTAAAGGTCTTCATAACTTTTATAAAATTGCACAGCTCTTGGCATTTTTTGTAGATGCAAAAACCAAGTCCACAAAAACAGGTTGCATAAAAAATCAAGCACAAAAGGAAAGGATCCCCACATCCCTAACAATTGTCCATTACTTCAGTTTCGTAAATAGTTTTGGTGCAACCTGCAAGAACAGCATCTTTGAAGTTAGTTCAAGGCTCGAGCTCGAACTTGTTCGATTATGTACAGCTTTTTCCGTAGTCTAATTTCTATAAAAACCGAAAGTTACTTACACATTTGTCAATGCAAGACCAGTAATCAAAATATTGTCCAGTGCAATGCTTATGACCACTCTCGTCCCCTTGGATTCTCTTCACGCATGCCTACGACATCGAAAGGCAATAATCATCATTTTACCTTATCTTTGTCCTAATGAGATAGAATTTGAATCTGATTGGACGTAATAAACAAAGTAAAAAAAAAATTAAGACCCTCTTTGTTCTAATATATCAACCAATCATCAGCTGACACCCATAGATATAAGAGATTGCATAAAACTTGATGACTGGTTGAGATTCATCAACGGCGCAATAAAAGGACGACAAGTGACCGAGTCAACATGAACCCCAAAGCATGATATCAACTAGAATCAGTGAAACATGAGTTGTCTCAAGTTTGAGGAAACAAGTATCTCAACTTGCCATCAATATTGAGTTGAATTCACAGATCAACGGAGCTACATTGTTAAGACAATGTGTTGAGGAGGGCTATTGTTGCCTCCGTGACCTAATTGCTTAGCATGATGAGCCAAGGATCTTTCACCATAATTGCCAAGGGAAAGATCGCCCTAACACCTTTGGATGAGAAACAGGACTTCATAGTGAAAGTATATACAAGAGCATACAAAAAGAACCAGCAAAAGGAAACCAAAAGTAAGATCGTTGAGCGAAAAATGACTTCTATCCAAAAGAATAAAAAAGGTTGCACTAACAAGTTCTTACTATTACCCTTAACAGCAAAAATAAGATGCATAATCGAAAGAGAAATTATGAAGTTTAATGTTGGAACGACTAATAAAAAGAGACTTTAATAGTGCTACTTAGCCATTGAGTGGCTCGTCTTTGTCTTATTTTTTAAATCCTTCTCTACTTATAACCACTTGTTAGTTGATTACTAGTATGCCCACAATATCCAAATAATGTTCCAACCATTCTTCCGCCCCAAAAACAGACTTTATCTTCAAGGTGTGGGTTGATTGATGGGGCCCAGTTGACGTCCATGGGTTTTTTTTCCATAAGCAAATTCAGAAATCAAAGGTGGGGTAAAATTGATTAAAATTTGTAACGTCCATGCGTCACAAAGAAGGTACAAGGAAATCCAATGGTTTATAAATGGATGTAATCACACGGAGAGATGCAAAATCTTCATCTAGTGATGGTTTAATTTCTAATCAAATAAGAGAATAGAAATATACACCATTCACGAAACAAGCTTTTAAAGTGGAGTAATCATGAAAAGAAAAAAAAGAATAATGAACAATAGTCCAACAAATGAAGAAAAAAACGTATCCAACTAGACTAAGACTCATCAATCCCCCACAACATAGACTAATAAAACACCCTGTACCTGATATTCAAGTAGTGGTTTCACACACTTGGGCTTGCAAGCTTCTTCAAGATACCTTTTCTGATCAACAGGTTCTTCATCCGCCCTACATACGAGGAAACAAAGAAACGTAGATATCAATACAAATAATCTTCAACACAATGAAAGACAAAGACAGAGTATGGAAAAGAAATGCATGTAAAAGTAGCTTCCAAGTTCCAACCATATGAAGATCTCAATTTCCACTCCGGCATACTTTAATCATTGGTATTTGAGAATATAACTATCCTACTGATTATCAAACCTTACAAATCTCCAAAAACCTTACATTTGCTAAATGTCTGATTTACATTGCAACTAAATCTACAGAAAACTAATTCTTCCCAAAATATGCAAAAATCACAGCACTTCTATATTCCATGATTTCCTTTCAGCAGCAGGGAGATGATACTTGTCATGGTGATTGCTCCAAAAATCAAGATTCAAAGAAACATTTGTCCAGGTATGTGGACCACAGTCCACCCTAATAACTCTTCCCACCACTATGGGCTACTTTCGAGGGAAAGAGTGTGCTTAGAAATTTCTGAATGCCAAATAAGGCAATAAATGGTAACAAAACAGCACTTGAATACAGGGATACAAATCTAAAGTACATAGCCGACAATCAAAAAGTCATCGTGTAAGAAATAAAACGGTCAAAAAATAGTGTATAATTTATGGTGAAGCTGAATCCTAAATAATAACAATAATAATAATAATAAAGGTACTTACATTGCTAATAAATAGTACTGACTTTGAGCAAAATAGTAGGCAAGAAAACCTGAAAAGCATTAAAATTAAATTTTAGTTTGCACATAAATGCTGACACCAAAAACCATGAACTTCATTCCACAAATTCAAAATGTCCATGCCTTTATCTCAAGCATTCTTTTGAGGAAAGGCAGACAAAAGATCCATTAAGAATTTAAATTGACCAGCCTCGAGCTAAACACCATCTACTATGTAGTATCATTGTGTATGTAAGATTAGACTTCAGGTTCAGATGTGAAACATTCAGAATGGAAGGTATTAGAAAGTCTCGTCAATTTCACCAAAGGAAAAGCAATTGATTTCAGCCCAATGATTTGTACCCACGAATCAAACTGCCTATGGTAAGGGAAATTAAGTAAGGTCGTAATCTAATGATACTCGTTAATCTTGATTCCATTACAAGAGAAACGGAAACACCATTTCAAAATTGGAGACTTGAATGTGTATCAAAAACAACAATTCAGATCATATAATCAAACATAACAAATTCCCCTCGAAAACCAACTACTGAGAGGCAGAACAAACGACATAATATAATCGCACAGAGAAAAACAAAAGAACCTCCATCGATCTCTAAGAAAACTTCAAAGGAAACAAATCAAATCGATAGAAGAAATCAAAAGCCCCCATAAATGCCAAAACAGACGATCGACAAATGGAGGAAAACAAAAACACGGATCTGATCATTAGAATAAAAAAAAAAAAAAAAGCAGAAAAGAGAAACAGGGAACAATAATTATATAAAGCTCAAAAACGGCGAAAGCCTTTCTCGTTTCCAAATTCATACCTTGGAGCTGAAACACAAATCTGGGAGGAAACTAGCAACTCTGATTAGGTTTAGTTTCGGAGCTGAGAAACTGCAATATGACAAATCTCCCACTTTTCCGATTCAAGAAGCTTCGCGGGCCGGTTGCATTCGGATTCGGTACAATTGTTCGGGTCGGGTCAAAAAGCCCTTTTGGAGCCAAATTAAATTACAAATTAAAAAATGTCTAAATTATAAGAATTTAAAATTAAAATTAAAATTAAAAGATTAATTAATTTTACATTTATTTTAAAATTAATATAATAACAGAGCTATTTTCTAGAGCACGTAACTATTTTAAAAAAATAATATAATTATTACCAAAAATAGAGTAATTATAGTAAATGATAATGTTTTGAAGTGGTAAAAGCGGGGTTAATTGGTTGCCGTTGAATGCCTAAACTTATGGTTAGGCAGTGAAAAATTTAGCCTTTAGGGCAATATAATTACCCCATTTTCATCCTCATCCGCCTCCAGCTTCTTCAACCCTCTTCCTGTCTCCTCCATTCTTTTACCTTCTTTCTCGACATTCACAGAGTTGACATGGGTGGCTGCGCTAGCAAGCCCAAGACCTACGAGAAAGAAGACGCCCCCCTGCCCCTCCCTGTTGTCAAGGAGGCCGTAGTGGCGGAGCGGACTATTGAGGAGATTCGGGAGGTACCCATTTCCCTTGGGTCTTTGCTCCTTCAGGTAATTTAATTACTCTTTATGTTCTTTAATTCTAATTTTTTTAATTATATCTTTTTTTTTTTTTATTTATTATTTTCTTTGTAGAATGAAGCAAAGGAAGAGGCAGCTGAGGATCAAAAGGAAGTGGGACTTCCAATTAAGGCCCAAAATCAAGAGCCCAGTCAAGAAGCTAAGGTGGAGCCACTAAATGTGGTAGATGCTGCCCCTCCTATACCCACCGTTGAGGAAGTGGCAGTGTCCGAGAAAGCCACTCTAGAGTCAGCGCCGGAAGTAGCGCCACAAAAGGCCGCCGTCGAGGCAGCGCCGGCAATAGCGCCACAAAAGGCCGCCGTCGAGGCAGCGCCGGCAATAGCGCCACAAAAGGCCGCCGTCGAGGCAGCGCCGGCAGTAGCGCCACAAAAGGCCGCCGTCGAGGCAGCGCCACAAAAGGCCGCCGTCGAGGCAGCGGCAGTAGCGCCACAAAAGGCCGCCGTCGAGGCAGCGGCAGTAGCGCCACAAAAGGCCGCCGTCGAGGCAGCGGCAGTAGCGCCACAAAAGGCCGCCGTCGAGGCAGCGGCCGTAGCGCCACAAAATGCCGCCGTCGAGGCAGCGGCCGTAGCGCCACAAAAGGCCGCCGTCGAGGCAGCGGCCGTAGCGCCACAAAATGCCGCCGTCGAGGCAGCGGCCGTAGCGCCACAAAAGGCCGCCGTCGAGGCAGCGGCCGTAGCGCCACAAAATGCCGCCGTCGAGGCAGCGGCCGTAGCGCCACAAAAGGCCGCCGTCGAGGCAGCGGCCGTAGCGCCACAAAATGCCGCCGTCGAGGCAGCGGCCGTAGCGCCACAAAAGGCCGCCGTCGAGGCAGCGGCCGTAGCGCCACAAAATGCCGCCGTCGAGGCAGCGGCCGTAGCGCCACAAAAGGCCGCCGTCGAGGCAGCGGCCGTAGCGCCACAAAATGCCGCCGTCGAGGCAGCGGCCGTAGCGCCACAAAAGGCCGCCGTCGAGGCAGCGGCCGTAGCGCCACAAAATGCCGCCGTCGAGGCAGCGGCCGTAGCGCCACAAAAGGCCGCCGTCGAGGCAGCGGCGGCAGTAGCGCCACAAAATGCCGCCGTCGAGGCAGCGGCCGTAGCGCCACAAAAGGCCGCCGTCGAGGCAGCGGCCGTAGCGCCACAAAATGCCGCCGTCGAGGCAGCGGCCGTAGCGCCACAAAAGGCCGCCGTCGAGGCAGCGGCCGTAGCGCCACAAAATGCCGCCGTCGAGGCAGCGGCCGTAGCGCCACAAAAGGCCGCCGTCGAGGCAGCGGCCGTAGCGCCACAAAATGCCGCCGTCGAGGCAGCGGCCGTAGCGCCACAAAAGGCCGCCGTCGAGGCAGCGGCCGTAGCGCCACAAAATGCCGCCGTCGAGGCAGCGGCCGTAGCGCCACAAAAGGCCGCCGTCGAGGCAGCGGCCGTAGCGCCACAAAATGCCGCCGTCGAGGCAGCGGCCGTAGCGCCACAAAAGGCCGCCGTCGAGGCAGCGCCGGCCGTAGCGCCACAAAAGGCCGCCGTCGAGGCAGCGGCAGTAGCGCCACAAAAGGCCGCCGTCGAGGCAGCGGCCGTAGCGCCACAAAAGGCCGCCGTCGAGGCAGCGCCGGCAGTAGCGCCACAAAAGGCCACCGTCGAGGCAGCGGCGGCAGTAGCGCCACAAAAGGCCACCGTCGAGGCAGCGGCGGCAGTAGCGCCACAAAAGGCCGCCGTCGAGGCAGCGGCAGTAGCGCCACAAAAGGCCGCCGTCGAGGCAGCGGCCGTAGCGCCACAAAAGGCCGCCGTCGAGGCAGCAGCAGAACTCACGAAAGCCACCGAAGAGGAGAAGACCACCGAAGCGACACCGTCACCGGCGGTGGCAGTGGCGGCGGCGACAAAAGAAAAAACAATAGACAATATGGGAAAGTAAATTCGGGTGCCTATGGAACATTTAATTTGTTAACAATTCCAAAATTGATTGAGAACGGGAATGCTTGTAGTTTCGGGTCTTCCATTTTTGGTTGTGAAAGAACAAAAGCCATTGAAAATCTAAACTAGAAATCAAAATAATGGAATCCCGTTTCTCCTTAATTAAAGCTCGATACTTCTATAGAGCTTTCAATAAAATACATTTTTTTGTTCGTCTCGACACCTCTATACCTCTTTGGAGCTCTCCTCTACTAGCATATTAGCCATACAATTTTGAATATATATATATTTTAATTTAAGTATTAAATAAATAAAAAATTGTTGAAGGAATAAAGCTATGATTTAAAAATTAAAATAAAGAATGAAACCAAAAAATAATGTGGTTTATTTTTTGTTGAATGTTTCATTAAATAAGAATAATGATGAAAACAGTAATAAATAATAATAATAATAATTGAGGTCCCCCGGAAGTTTCATCATTTCCTCTGACTAGTCGAAGTATTAGCGTGGCTGCACATTATTATTGGTCAAAGTCAAACTCTAATAACGGGTCACAATACTACCCGACCCGAAATCTCGAAATCCGACCCGTTTTATTTTAGGGTAATCAATGGAAATGGCCTTTTATTATCATTGTTATATGTTTTTTGGGGACAAAAACTTATATAAAAAAAAAGGCATTGGGTCATATGGGTCATATGGCTGTTGACATTTATATGACCACGTTATTGACCAACAAGCAAAACACGCCTAATTTTAGTGTTCTTATGATTGAGGTACTAAAGAAAAAAAAAGTCAACCTTGTTAATATAGATCGAAATTGGAATAAAGAGTACTATTTGACTCGATTTATGACTTACGAGCCATATGAATTTCGTTCTAGACAAAAAAAATGGTTCACCGCTATTATTGAATTTCATATCGGGAGCATGAAGCTTTGTACATCCAAATAATAATATAATAAAAAAAATGATGAGATTGACTTTATTACTTGCCATTTTAAGACATTAAATTATTAAAAGAAAATACATTAAATAAAAAAAAAAAAGACAAATAAATTATTTGGTAGTTCATGAAAAGAAAAAGGATAAAGGAATAAGATCACAAGGGAGAGAGAGAAAGTATAGTTGACTAAATTGAGTGGTACAATAGGAACGGCCGCATTGAATCAAAACTCCCCAAAGACCTTTTTTTTCTTCTTATCAGACAATGCACGGGGAAAGTCAAATGCCCATTTGGGTCATGAACTGTTAGTAGGAATTATCGCCCAGAAAATAAATAAATAAATAAATAAATAAATAAATTTATGGTGAAACTTTCAAAGGAAATTACTTGAAAATTGGTGGAAAATGGAATCATTGTAGCTATTCTTCTTTGGTTCTTCATCGTTAGCTAAATTCAATGACCCTTTGGGGTCCGCCCTAGAGAGAGAAAGAGGAGAGAGAGAGAGAGAGAGAGAGAGACTTTTTTGAGACGACTGATCCAAAGCTTTGATTTCCATTTCTGGGATTTCAGTGTTCATACCAATATCTTGATTTTCTCCGATACTTGGCCATTAACTTAGAGTTTTTCGCTTTAGATTTCTCCTTTTCTTTCTCCATCTCTCACTTTTCTATCATTTTCACACTGATCTTCCGGGAAAATGTTGTGACTTTCCCGAGAAAAAACCTCATTCACAACTCCTCATCCCTTCTTTTACTGGCAGATCTTCAGTCCTCTGTTCTTAGTTCAAGAGCTTGATCTGATTTCACCTGCCTGATCGACCTTAAATCCTCGTTTACAGGTTTGTGTTTCTTGGTGTTCTTAATTCGTACCAGTTTTTTTCTGTCCGGATACAAAATTTTGACCTAGTTTTTGTTGATTCTGTTCATAATTTGTGTAATTTCTGCATAATATTGATGGATTCAGAAAGGTCCAGATTCTATCTTGTTTTGGATCTATGCAGTTTCAAATGTTCTTATTGTGCTAGAATAAAGAGCCAGTTTGAGCCAGATTAGACTTTATGATGCATCATAAAGCAGCTTTTTCACAATACTTATCTCTTTTTCTTTAACTTTTGGCCTTAATTTACAAGATTCTGAAGCACTTTGTAACATTTGGCAGCCATAAACACATGACAATTGATATATAATCGAAGGGGCGTCGAGATTTGATATCATTTTCGTGTAGAATGTCGTTTCGAAGCATTGTTCGTGATGTTAGGGATAGTATTGGGAGCTTATCTAGACGAGGTTTCGAGGCTAGGTTGAGTAGTCATCATAGAGAGAAGTCGAATGCGTCGTCGTTAAATGATGTTCATGATCAGCCTCCTGTTGTTCAGAATGGCTGCTGGGCTAATCTTCCACCTGAGCTGTTGTATGATGTCGTTCGAAGACTTGAAGAGAGTGAATGTACATGGCCTTCTCGAAAGAACGTCGTGGCCTGCGCTGCGGTGTGTCGTTCTTGGAGAATTATGTGTATGGAGATCGTTAAAGGCCCGGAAGTTTGTGGGAAGCTTACGTTTCCTGTGTCACTGAAGCAGGTATGATTTTCGGTATTCGTAGGATCAAATGTTGGAGATTACGACTCATTGTTCGTTCCTTTTGTTCTTGAATTTAGCCCGGACCGCGCGATGGATCTGTACAATGCTTCATTAAGAGGGACAAATCGAACCTAGCATACCATCTCTACTTGTGTCTTAGCCCTGGTATGGAATATGCTTATCTGCTTCACCTCATTGTTGAACATCTGAATCTGTTTATAATTTCTGGTACTCGAATTGTCCAGCTCTTCTGGTTGAAAACGGGAAGTTTCTTCTCTCTGCTAAGCGTACACGAAGAACAACTAGCACGGAGTATATTATCTCGATGGATGCAGAAAACATTTCGAGATCGAGTAGCTCGTACATCGGAAAGCTGAGGTGAGATAACACTTACGAACAGCCTTGAAGAAATATATCTTCTGCTTATGTCTTTCCTGATTCAAGTTTCGTGTTTATATCCAGGTCGAATTTTCTTGGAACGAAATTCATTGTCTATGATACTCAACCTCCATACACCGCTGCCCCACTCCCTCTTCCAGGGAAAACTAGCCGTAGATTCTATTCGAAAAAAGTGTCGCCGAAAGTCCCGACTGGGAGTTACAACATAGCTCATATAAGTTATGAACTAAACGTCTTAGGCACACGGGGACCCCGGAGAATGCACTGTATAATGCATTCGATACCAGTGTCTTCCCTCGATGCAGGGGGCGTTGTTCCAGGCCAACCTGAGCTCCTCCCTCCGAAGTCTCTCGACGATTCGTTTCGGAGTGCGTCATTCTCAAAAGCCTTGGATCATTCCATGGAGTTTAGTAGTGCTAGATTCTCCGAAATTGGGCGGGCAGCATTGGATGGCGATGAGGAGGGAAAGATGAGACCTTTGGTACTAAAAAACAAGCCGCCGAGATGGCACGAGCAGCTACAATGTTGGTGCCTGAACTTTCGTGGGCGGGTAACGGTTGCGTCGGTTAAGAATTTTCAGTTGATTGCAGCAATACAACCAGGTGCTGGCGCTCCAACCCCGTCTCAACCAGGGCCACCGGAGCACGACAAGATCATTCTTCAGTTCGGGAAGGTCGGGAAAGACATGTTCACGATGGATTATCGATATCCGCTGTCTGCTTTTCAGGCTTTTGCAATATGCTTGAGTAGCTTTGATACCAAATTGGCTTGTGAATAAAGAAAATGTATCAAAAGGTTAATGCATATGATGAGCAGAACAAAAGTAAGAGCAGCTCCCTACCTTACCTTTTATGCCCCTTTTTTTTTTTTTTTTTTTTTTTTTTAACTTTTGGATTTCACTCACTTAGTTTGTTGTCATTTCATGGTTAGGTTAGTGAAATAGTCATTGATGGTATTGATGTAAAACTTCATCGGCTACTTCTAATCTTTAAAAAAAAGGAATGAAGTGAAAAGCCCTTTTTACCCCTCTCTCTCTCTCTCTCTCTCTCTAATGAAGTGAAAATCCCTTTTAACCCTTCTCTTTCTCTCTCTAATGAGGTGAAAATCCCTTTTTACCCTTCTCTCTTTCTCTCTCTCTCCCCCCCTAATGAAATGAAAAGCCCTTTTACCCTTCTCTCTCTCTCTAATGAAGTTAAAAACCCTTTTTACCCCTCTCTCTCTAATGAAGTGAAAAGCCCTTTTTACCCTTCTGCCTCTCTCTCTCTCTCTAATGAAGTGAAAAGCCCTTTTTACCCTTCCCAAATACACAAAAGAAGAAAATCTTCTGAATCTCTAAATACCTTTTGTTTGTAATGATGGAAGAAGTGGTTTGAGTAGAGCATTGCTTTTGAACAACTTCTTCCATCATGTGAACCGATCAGAAAATGGCCCTCTTCTCTTTTTTCCCTTTTTCCCTCATTATTCCATCACATCTATTTCTTTTTCAAATTTATAGTAATAGTAATTACAAAAACTAAATAAATAAATAACCCAAATATACATCTTTATTCTTTGTTATTAACTAATCCCAGTACTTTATATTAAAAAAATTAAAAACCAAAATAAAATAAAATATATGAATTTTATTATTATATGAGCTACATCAAAAGGGACATTGATGTAGCTGGACAACAAATGATGGGTCTATTAAACCCAGTTAAACGCCGCCGTTTCTTATGCTTTTACTTCCTACTTTTAATTCTTTCTAATAATTTAATATTGTATTTATAAATTCAATACTTTATTTGACGATATTTTTTTTCTATTTTTATCCCTATAAAACATTATTTAATCGTGTGGGAAATAAATTCGCAGTATATATGTTAAACGAATTTCTTAATAGATAATTTATATTTTAAAAATATAAGACTGGTAACATAATATTTATATTATGTAATTATTTCTAAAGCTCAAATTTAAATCTCTCTAATTTCTTAAACTTAAAAAAAAACCATAAAATGATTTTTATTTTACTTTTTGTTCTAAATACTCTAATAAAAAACACATTTTTAATATTTTTTTAAAGCGGGATAAAAACCGGACAAGAAGGGGGGGGGGGGGGGGG